ATGCCAATCAGGCAACCTTGATACCATAATAACGTCATTCAAATCCTCCTATTCCATTGGGCATGCCACGATCAATGTCGATAAAAAATGAATTGCTGAGTTGTTAATATCTGGCGTTCGTGAGCAGCATTTCTAGATATAACGGCCGTCACTTTGCTCTAAATCAATGCTGTGCATGGTACGATGACGCCATAAAAAATGACGTATTAAGGAGCACATTTACCTAGCCGGGAAACTGTGTTGTCTAGACTGGTCTATCCGACTTAAAATTGTGGCGATATTTATAAGTCAGCTTTTTTAATCATGTCTATTGCTTGCTTCATCATCTTCAAATGTGGAACATTCCCTTTAAGTAACCGATCTAATGAGCTATTTCATTCTGCTGATGCTTCATTCTGCTGAAATGAGCTTCATTCATTTCATTCATTCTGCTTCAGTCGAGTGAATTCGGTTTTTTTTCTCACTTGCATTGAGGAATGTTTATTTTGCAACCAATATGAGGCAGGAGGGAACTGGGGTCAAATGTTGCATACCAGATGGCCCATGCTGCACCCCTGACATGAGAAAACTTTTTCCGATGGTTGAAGAAATTTTCAAGACATACGGACGTCAAAATCCCCGGGTTATCTTCCATTGGGTTCCAACAGCGTCCGTGAGTCGTATGCCTCGTGGTCGTCCGTGAGTTGTATGCCTCGCAGTCGTCCGTGAGTCGTATGCCAAGTATGCCTCGAAGGCTAAAATATCTTCAGGGACAAGCGAATGTTCTAAGCTATTGAACGGTGCTTCTGTGGTTCTCAAGAGTGCCCCTGAGGTTGGAAACGAATCTTGAGGTCGAAATGCACTGGCAAAAGCCCAAGAGACCTCCCCTATAATTTCAAAATGGCCCATCGGCCTAGAATAACAATATAAAAATCCCCATGGTGTCCCAAGCTATGGGAAGGCACCGGAAGATAGTGATCGTGCATCTGTAAGGCCTAAAAAGGTCACCAGGGACATCAAGACGTCCACAAGAATAAAATAGTCCTCGAAGGGCCCCATGGGGGCTTTAGGTGACGGTAGTGTTTTGAAGGGGCGCCACTGGTATTTGCAAGACACACGAACTACCCTCAGAGCATCCATGTTTCACAATATGCCGGACGCAAGACATACCAGCTTCAAAACGTGACATCAAAGTTTCAAATATTCCCATGTGTAATAAGAGAACCTGCAGTGCTATTGTGGCGAGAGAAATCGAACACGTGGGAGGGTGAAATTCTCGTTTGTGCGCTGCAATGCGGCATCCTGGCGAACCAAGCTTACTCAATGATTCGCTCCCGTGTGTCACGCTCAGTGCCGCATTCCGGTACTCCGGTAGTAAAGATCTTGCCGTCACCACTGCAGTATTACGTGCTGTGGGGCGAAATATGGTGCCTCATGATGACATGAGCTGGAAGCTGCAACCTGCGCTGGTGGCCACGACCCCGAATCGTCGGATTTTGTCAATATGACGGATGCTTGCTTGATGATGTTGTTTAACCAATGTCTGCTGGTAAGCTGAAGGCTGACCACAGTCAGAGTAAGCACGCCTGGCTCAGGGTGGTGTCGGTGGTAGAGGAAGCAGTTACCCATTCCCTGTCTGCCGGGTGAGTGTTCCCCAAAGTTTTTTGGGAGACCCTTTTTCACAAACTGAATGCATAGAAGTTACCCGTAGACTGTCAAAATTCAGATCAAGGAAACCCCCATAACTGAGCTAGAGAGTGATAAGCTGGGCTTAGAGGACCCTTTTCTGTACCAAGAGGCCCGTTTTCTGGATCATGAGGTCCCTTTATGAATAAGTAGCCCATGCTCTTGGTTATGAAGTCTAATGTTGTGTTAAGGAAGCCAACGTCACAAAATCGGAGGCCCTGTCATGGGTTAGGAGGCACTGTTCATGTTCAGGAGGTCCCATTTCTGGAACGAGAGGATCCTTTCATACATCAGATGGCCGAGATTCGGGATCAGGATATCATGATTTTGGATAGCGAGGCCCCTTGGCTAGATTTGGAGGGCTCTTCGTGAATCAGATTTGTCGACATTCTTTAGTTGGATATGGTGCGTGCAACAGTTGGATAAAGAATCACATGCCTGGGTACCCCTACCCCGTAACTAAGATAATGCTCGGGGGATCCCTGTGAAGAGACCCCAATTTTCCATAACATTCTCTTTAAAATCCTGCCCACGCCTCTCAAAATTCGTTGCGCCGCCCCTGCCCCTGAAAAGGGTGCCTCTTCCCTTCCGATCAAAGCTCCTGAATCCTTCACTCCAATCACTGACACTCCGCTTAAACGACTGAAGTGACAAAAAGCGGAAGAAAACTATAAGTTTCTGAAGGCAAATTCCTAATTTTTCGCACAACCCATGCTAATAAATTTCGCCACCGCCCCTGGCTGGACGAGTTTGGGAAGATCTCGCTTTTTGCACAATTGAACATCACGCTTGCGGGCTTCACTAACAAAGGAACGCATTTAAGCCCTCAAATGTCGTCATTCTGCTACCGATCCGTGGCGGACTATGACTAATGCCATTAGTAAGTTCAGAGTTTCAAAAAATAAGGAAGGAATTGGCCTCAGCTCCCGGTTTTCTTTCTTTGGATCAGGCGCTCTCAGGGATATCTGCGATGACGAGAAATTAATGGACTTTCAGGGCGGAAAGCACAATTGATCATGCTGCTGAGTATTGTTGTGAGAGCTTAGGTCACTTGCAGGCTTAAAAAATCACTCGTTAAATTGGGGTCAAATCACATCAAGCAACAACCACGGCCATGCATGCTTCCACTTAAGACCCACTCTATCAAACATTGTACATTGCAGAACCGCATTTGTAAAGACCACGAATAACCATCACGATGTCGGCTGAAAAGCACATATACGTATTGGGAGTAGTTTTTCGCTTTTTATTTTTTTGTATAGAGTGGGGGGCCCGGGCAAAGGTTGCACGGGCAAAGGCCTGTTGATTGGCTGCAATCAAAGACCTTGCAGATTGGCTGCAAAACTCGCCGCAGATTTTGATATCGTCAGGAGTTGCAGACTAGATATGCCACTTCTAAGCCAGCAGGCCCCCAGGGCGCGAGAAAAAGAGTTCAAAAGCGATGCCTCTCTAGTCCGCAGCCCCCGACAGTTGCAGAACCTGCTGCAGATTCTGCATGCTCCAACTGTTTCAGACCAGAGGTGCCAGTGTCTGGCGTAAATCTCTGGGCTCAGGGGAAGACACCCGTGCCTCCTCCATGGCTGTGCATCACAGGTGAAAAAACTCACGGTGAATTACGGTAATTTTTTCTTTGGCATCTGAAACTGTCGCAGTGTCATTTCATTGCTGCCATGTTGTTACTCTCTAAACCTTTTAGTTCACTCGTAGCTAGCCGGTTGGCTTCGTCAGACCTCAGCAACAGCAGCTTACTGGGAGTCGCCGTTCTTCCAGCCATGTATTCCAAAAGCGTCCCAAATTCAAAAGGCCTTGTCCAATGTCCCAAATTCAAAAGGCCTTAACTCTGGACCAAGCTTGATCTACGCGGGGCAATAAAAAGTCGGTTTGGCAGACCGCTACCACAACACGACAGCAACAACTCGATCCGGTTTCCTCCATGCTTTCGCGAGCTAATCACCGTTCCTATCAGAAATACCTATTTCAGAAAGATCATAATAAAAACAATCTAGGTATGAAATGCATCCACGCAATGCAAGATAAGATTGGAATGCAAGATTGCAATGCAAATTCAGCGTGGTCTTCCAAAACGCTGTCTATTTGTTCAGTTTTTTAAGTGGTTGAGTCAGCAGCTCCTGCACCCGCGTCAAGCATGCGAGGTTTCCATCCAGAAACGTGTGACTCACTTGGCAAACATTGCCCGTTGGCTGATGATGCTATCCGAGGTGGGTTCATTCACGTGGACCACAGGCCGCACCTCCGAGTTACCTCAGTAATGCACAGGTGGTGGACGGTACGGTGGAGTGAAGCCAGGCGCGACGCCCCTCAGCATCAGCTGAGCTGTTCCCGGTAACCGATCGAATTAATGCGTCTATCACGCGTCGTGCGATGACTTTTGTCCACTGCAATGTTGCGTGTGATGAGCGGAAGTCTCCGCGCCTCCCGTTGTTGCCGGCCGGCCGGTAACGCGCGTGGTTGCGGAGCTCTGCAGAGACCCTGCAGGCACACCAACAACATTAGACAGACCAAGGCGTACTGGAAAACCGGTCGGCGGAAATTCCTCGCCGTACAGGGCCCAAACAACGCTTTTTGTGCATTTGTGTGTGTGATCTGCTGGAGATTTGGTTCACTCGTTCTACAAATGAATAAACGAAACTGGGATAAGATCGCGTCAAACGCAATGCCAGCAAGCTCCACTTAGATCAAACGGATATTGTTCATCTGGTGCTCGACGATAATGAGTATGGTTTGTCATTCGCACAGACACTTTGCTGTGGAAGAGACCGAATGTTAGGAAACAGCCGAACATGCAACCAAAATGCAAATTCTCACTGGATGACGACCTCTCTATTTTAATGGTTGGAAATGGGTAAGCAGTTTCAACATGTCTCCTTTTTACGCTCAAGAGTTCGATAGTCAAGGGGAGCACCGTGAGCACCTAACCTAAAGTGCTAAGGTCCGTCTCCCCAGAATCTCCTGGTTCCCGCAGTGGCCCATCTCCCAGACTCCCCTGGTTCTCGCGGAGGCCCGTCTCCCAGACTCCCCCGGTTGTCGCGGAGGTCCGTCTCTGCTGACTCCCCCGGTTGTCGCGGAGGCCCGTCTCTGCTGACTCCCCTGGTTCTCGCGGAGGCCCGTCTCCCAGACTCCCCCGGTTATCGCGGAGGCCCATCTCTGCTGACTCCCCCGGTTGTCGCGGAGGCCCGTCTCTGCAGACTCACCGGTTGTGGCGGAGGCCCGTCTCTGCAGACTCACCGGTTGTCGCGGAGGCCCGTCTCTGCAGACTCACCGGTTGTCGCGGAGGCCCGTCTCTGCAGACTCACCGGTTGTCGCGGAGGCCCGTCTCTGCAGACTCGCCGGTTGTCGCGGAGGCCCGTCTCTGCAGACTCCCCCGTTGTCGCGGAGGCCCGTCTCTGCAGACTCCCCCGTTGTAGCGGAGGCCCATCTCTGCAGACTCCCCCGTTGTCGCGGAGGCCCGTCTCCATATTCGCCCGATCTCGGGCAACCGCTAATCGTTCGCAGCGGTTAGAAGTCGGAAAAGATCATTACGTTAGACATGGAGGGGGAAAACGATTTGATGAAGAGTAACGAAAGAATAACCAGAGAAGGCGAGGTGGGTGAGGGGCAGCATATTGTTACACTCAGGTTGGGTTGCAAATTATGTTAGAACCTTCGAAAAACGTGCAGAACAAAAAAGCGAATGCCGGTGACTTGCTCTGGTCATAAGCAACGCGCCCGTATTTGTTTGACACCTTTGACCCCAACGGAATGTATATGTTAGGGACGCTACGTTTGACCCAGCATAGCTACGGGGCGGGGCTTTGGCTCACCGTTCGTAACCAGTGCGTTCCAGATTTCAGACCTACAGGGATCACTCGCTGCAGTGACCTTTCTTGTACCACACCGGACGGAGGGGGGGGGGGGGGAGGGCAGCCCAAACGTGTCAAGTGTTTTATGGAAGACTTTTAAGTTACATAAGGCACGCAGCTAGAAATCGGTTGCGGGGGGGGGGGGGGGCGGGGCGTCGGCTGTCCGAGAACTGAGGTTTCGCCTTCCCAAGTTCCCTCCCCCTCACTAAATGGGGAGGTAGGGACTACATCCATATATGCCTATTGAAATTGTTGTGTATGGTAGATTTAAAGAGAAAAACAAGCATTAAACATGTATATTATAAACGTTGTGAACTACGGGTAAGCAATCACGCTGCCCATTTTTGGCTGCTGACGTGCTAAGGAAAAATGCATCACTACCTGCTCGGATCGCAACAATTGGGACACCATTCGATGCCGTGCAGAAAAGCCAGCGGACATCAACATGCATCAAACATGTGGATCATGACCATCGTCACCCATCAGTCAACAGCCTTCAAAACGTTCCATCTTCGGCTGCTGATACGCTTCCCTTAAAAAAACAACAACTTTCCTTACTCGGGTCGCCATCCAAGGTTTACCAGTGAGCAATCCACGCACTGCAATCGAATACTGGAGTCAAACGAGCATGAAAGGTGTGAAGTATTTATACTGTGACCCACTAGCAAGGAAGTGTAGACAATGCTAGGTATTGGCTGCTGCCGCAGTACAAAGCGACCTTATAAAATCTGATTGCGATACCGAGCATACCAATCAGCGAGCTGAAGGCGATACAAAGGAGGGGAACAAGTATGGAACGTGTGGGTAATACCGTTGTGTGCCATCATTTTAGAATCATTCTTTTACGTGGGTCCGCTAGCCGGATTCATGTATTTTGTGCGATCTATTTTGTATCATTTCCGATTGCAGAAATTCATGGAATTGAGCCAATCGGTTTCAGGTCTACACAAATTCGATGTAAAGCACTCAACGAAACTGACCATTCAGACGTGCTTGAATTAGTCCAGCGAATGACGACGACGATATTGTCGGGGACGAAACGGCATATTCAAAACAACAAACAAGTAAACTTTACGCCAAGGTTTCAGCGCAACAGGTAGTGAAAAACACCAAATGAAGGAAGCCGTTTTAAAAGGCTTGTCTGGCAGTCCAAATGACAGCCCTTTTGAGAAAAAACACGAATGAGGTCTCACTGGATGAACCCTCGACGCAACGGTTGTTGCAAGAATCTCATTCAGCACCGATACGCTTCTCATTTTCAAGCTAAGGTAATATCAGGAAACCGCAGCGACTTTTTGAAAGGGCAGCATACCACAGCTTGTACCATAAAACGCGGAGTAAGTGTTCGCCGCTACCGTCACTTCCAAACTACGCGCCTACTTTCCACTATTGTCTCCTCATCCCACGTACCTCCCTCCACTCCATGCTTATGCCTTCTAACTCTATCTCCACCTTTCTCCCCCTCTCTCTCTTACTTAACGTCTCTTATCCCCTCCATCCCTTTATTTTTATCTGGGACACGCTACGCCTATCTCCATCCGTTTGTGTTCTCTGGGACACACCACGCCCACCTCCAATCCGTTTTTGTTCACCGGGACTCGCCACGCCCATCTCCATCCGTTTTGTTCTCTGGGACACGCTTCGCCCATCCCCATCCGTTTTGTTCTCTGGGACACGCTACGCCCATCTCCATCCGTTTTTTTTTTCTCCGGGACACGCTTCTCTGTCCGCGGGCGGCGAGGCAAGACTAATCCGCTGTGGATTGTGCGTGAGGAGCGAAAACAATTTATGAATGGACGGTGCCTGTGAATGAATGGTGCGAAAATATGCGGACAATTACTCAGAAACTCTCCTAGTCGGCACGTCAGTAGTGTTATCTGCCGCCTGATCGGTTGGCAGGGGGCAACGATTCCGCTCACCCCGCACGCCGGGACCGGGTCGGGATGAAAGCCGGCTAGGCGGCAACGCGTTGTTTTCAGAAAATGCGCAGCGCTTGAGTGAATCGTCCTTTAAATTGTTAAACTGGTGGGAAACCCAACCTCCATGCCAACAGGTCGGTCATTATTTCGAAGCGTAGTAGACTATTGAGGGGAAATATGAGGACCAATGCGTTAATCATAAGACAATTATTGATGATAGCACTGGAACAACATAACGTAAAAGTATGACGATGTGCTGGCAGATAGAAGATAAACCACGAAGCCGAGACTATATACGCGGACTTAAAAACAGGTCAGTCATGGAAGATCTACACCACCTGGATGGATCTGTATTCACGACTGATCTTGAGAAGGCTCAAGAGTTTAACACATTCCTGAGTTCAGTTTTCGTCCAGGAGAGGCAGTTGCGAAAAGAACACTGAGTTTGCTATCGAGATGAGCTTTTAGCGCTCCCTTTTCACTCTGTTGTATCAAGCATTGTCACAGAAATCGAGCTTCCTTGTTAGATCAACCAGCTGAGCGAAATATTCCCAATGAGTCACAATAAGCGGGGTTTCGGTGCGGTTTATCAGCACCAGCGCAGTAGACAAACTTAAACTATAGCGCCTTGCAACGATCTTGCCAATTTTTAAATCAGCCGTATGTCCCACTGCTCCCTCACGGTTCCGTTTCTTGCTTGCTTCCCAGAAATTATGTTGCGTGTTCCATGGTCCACTGCCAAGTCAGCTGATGCTATTGCCACCTGCTGCCACCTGCCACCCTGCCACCTGCTTACCAGACAAGGTTGCGAATATTTTACGTGCCATACCACACTCTGGCGCGGCTGCAGGGGTCAGGGTGGCCCGGTTTGACCAGTTGCCAGTTGAGCTGATGGCGGGGCATGGTGACAGATTCACCCGCCCCGGGTGTCGTACACAGCGTCAACATGCTACAAGCTCAGTACCCTTCCCCTCGGCCACCGTATCCGCATGCAGATTAAGCGTAGCAATGCCCTCCTCTGCGCCACTATTCATATTCACAGATTGCAAACACATGCTTGGAATAAACGCGCCTAAGCAGCTGTGCATGTTCGGATACGGACAATGCACTGTGTATCAATTGGGTTCTAGTTTACTACCCAATCCAGGCAGAGCCCTGCCCGCCACGAATTTCTCACCGTTTAGTCCAGAAACTCCGTTGGCTGGCGCACACAGCAGACAATCCCCTGTCTCGGTATGCGCTATGTGGTGTTGGTTCGTGCCTCGATCCTTCGTCTGAGACGCAGACAGATCCACCGTCTTGGACGCAGACAGGTCCCTCGTCTGAGATAAAGACAGATCCCTCGTCGGAGACGTAGACAAATCCCTTGCCTGAGATGCAGACAGATCCCTCGTCGGAGACGCAGACATATATATATATATATATATATATATATATATATATATATATATAACCACATAAATAACAAGTGTTTGCTTACCGGTTGTTCCTCCCGTTCCCCTCCCACGGCACGTTTCCCGCACCGTCGCAGGCGAGAGCTGATCCCCCGCTCCCCTCCCACGGCACGTTTCCCGCACCGTCGCAGGCGAGAGCTGATCCCCCGCTCCCCTCCCACGGCACGTTTCCCGCACCGTCGCAGGCGAGAGCTGATCCCCCGCTCCCCTCCCACGGCACGTTTCCCGCACCGTCGCAGGCGAGGGCTGTTCCTCCCGCTCCCCTCACACGGCACGTGTCCCGCACCGTCGCAGGCGAGAGCTGTTCCTCCCGCCCCCCCCCCCCCCCCCCCCCCCCCACCTCAAATGGTACGTGTCCCGCACCATCGCAGGCGAGAGCTGGTCCTCCTGCTCCCTCCAAACGGTACGTGTCCCGCACCATCGCAGACAAGAGCTGTTCCTCCCGCTCCCCTCAAACGGCACGTGTCCCGCACCGTCGTAGGCGGGGTTCGACGGCCGATATCTATGGAACAAAAATATGAAATTCTAGGTTCCGCGTTCCAAGACGGCTGTTGTGCCGTTGATTTTGTTGTTTACACTGTCACGAATCTGGTTTTACTTACAGTATTTTTACGCATTTTTGAACGTCATTTTTTGTTGGCGCTTGTAGACTTTTGCACTTGGAGACTTGTGGGTACTTGTGAAGAATCAACAACATGAAGTATTTATGTGCAGAACTCGGACAACATTTAGTTTAAAAAAATACACCTTAATTACCAAAGTTTTTTTTTTTGGCTCGAAATGACCGGCATGTGCTTGTTTGACTGCTGGCATTGCCTACGCAGTTCATTTTATTTCAAGCATTGTGTTAAGCCTTTTTTGTGAGTTTTTTGAGACCTTCCACATCGGCTCTGTCCCAGAGGCTAGGGTTGAAATTCCACCACAATATCACTGGACAAATCAATATCACTATCAGTACCACATTTCGTTTAGGCATGTCCTCATTTAACACTAATAAACATCAAATAAAAAATTATCCATCCTGTTCGTGTGATTACCCTCTGATCACACTTTCCGTTCTATTGTGTCGCCAGGCAACGTCTTTTCAAACCGTTTCGGAAACACTACGATGCGATTTTGTCTCGCCCGTCCTATAATAAGCTCAATATACTATTACACGGAGCCGGCCTTGGTGGCGGTGTGAGCTGTGCGGTGGCTCATGACTCTCAAAATTACCTGCTGACCTCAGGCCGATTTCGAGATATATGACGCCCACAGGGGTGTGCTGCGCTCCCACTGGGATAGCAGCACTCGAAATCAAATTTGAGCTACATCCATAACGGCATTCAGACGACCTTCACGCCTTACACATACAGATACACGCGTAGAGGAGTGCCTCCTGGTAAGTGCTTTCGCTTTTGCACTGATCTACGACAAAATCTGCAGAACGTTTATTTGTCATGGAAGCAAATGTATTGTTGTTATAACACCAGATTGCATTACCCTAATCAAACAGCAGCCCCCGCCCCCACCCCGTGTTCAGTGTAGGTTTCAGGTTTTCACACAATAGACTTATAACTTTAAGCCAGAATGGCGAATTTTTCGTATTATAATGCATGGAGCTAAGAAAAATAATGGGTTGAGAAGCGATACCAGCTCGTTCGATGTTAGATGACAGCAAAAGTTATCTGCCAACTGACGAAATTGAGATTGAGCACAACTAAAAACGTTCTTATTGCTGTTTCACGCTTTTACAGAGCCACATAGTGCGATCAATTTGGCTCCCTGGCTACACTGCTGATCAAGTTTGTTCAAGCTCGTTTTATTGACTAATCACTCCAACAAATAGCTTATTGTTCAAAACTCGGTTCAAGAACAATAACGTCATAAAAACAGTAAGAAGAAATGACAACAACGCGACCTTATTTGTACATTTTCGACCATTCCTTCGCCCACACACTTAGTCAAGCACGCAATCATTGGTCGCGCCGTGCGATACGAGAAGGTCCCGCGTGCCACCGACAGGCGAAAAGTTATTATGTCGAGCGCGCCCGCCGCTACTGCCCGCGTGGCATGGTGGTATACGGCGGTACGGGGGATGATCCGGGACAGGATCGCCACCGGGCCCGCGAGTCATTAAAGATTTATGCCACCTTTTTGTACTTTCAATTGATTCCTAAACCAGACGTGTCCGATTTGATCGACAGCACCAGGTTTTTCGAAATCTTTCTGAATAGAATGCAATTTATATTTCAAATTGCAGCTCCTGGAGAGAGATGCCATGGTACCTCCTGCTTAGCACTGCCTATAGAAATTACACTTTTCGTTTTCCTTGTTTTTCTAACGTGTGTTCTGTGATGTTTGCAAAACACTAGCTCATCAAATTGGTTGTGGAAAAAATGCTACGAAAGCTTGAGATGTTCTTCCCATGGAAAATTATATGCAAACATGAGACTATTATCAAGCGAATTTGACAAAACTTTTGACTTCGGATTTCATTTCTCCCCTGCGGCGCTAAGCACAGTGACTTTTTTGAAGCACACTTTTGCTTTGGGAAACAGAGTGTTTCATGACCTACAGTGACGCACTGGTTCAAACTTAAACTAATGCGCCTCTCAGCACTAATGCGCCTCTCAGTAAACAGCCTTCGCCTCCCGCTGTACTGATCACAAACGTTCATTCGCGCTGACGTCACCCACTAGGACATTTAAGCCCGCAGCCTGCAATGAGCGGATTGAAACAGCTCAGAACTGGTACCTCTGGTACGTCACAGCTGACGACGGCCCTCAGCAGGTGCTGCCGTCGTCGTAATGGCGACGGTCGCGACAACTGCAGTTGTCGCAGACTAGGGCTTCGCTCGGGAGCTACCAAGAAAAAGGAAGTCCAGTACTGTGACTAAACGTTGGAAGCGTAACTTGATCTCCAAAACAAATAAAATGCATATCCTCATGCACCTTCATGGTACTGCAGTTGCAATCCTTAGAGCTCTTGTTAGATGTAACTGGTCCTGAGGTGTTACTAGAGTATGCTTTTACAGTATGCCCCAAAGGTGGACCACTTCCTTTACAGGGAGTGCTCAACATTTGTACATGTTTTTGAACTGGAATAGCCATCTTGAAGGCCATTCGGTGCAGTTCGTAACGCTTCCCTTTTATAGACCTAAAATCCTCTAGTTCCTGGGCAACACGGCTGTGGAGGTGCGCAAACTGTTTTGTGCAGACTGCTTCAAGGCCATTCAGACATGCATGACACCATAGCAAAATCGCTAAAGCCGTTTATATCTGCCATCCGTGACCGCGATTTTCAAATGTAGTGTACGACAACTGGCTCTCAATCCAACTGGCTCTCGTTAAGGGGGTGTGCTAATTTCTATCACGAATAACGTTTTGTGGTCCATAATACAATAATTTGGATATGGTTGCTAAATATTACGGAAATAAGACTTGTAATCGAATAGCATACGAATCGTGCCATCACCGAGCATGTGAATGCGAGTAAACTTACTAAACTCACGGGCAAAAAATGCAGGAACACCAAGAGTAAGAGCCAAAACACGAGCACATAACGATATTTGGCTCAGTGAACACTTCCAGCACCGCCGCTGCCATCTCTCGGAGAGTTGAAGTGCTACATGTGAGTGCGAGGATAGCAATTTTGCACGGCTAATTTGGCAGCACCTCAGCGTTATACAGAAGTTCCATGACGCAATCAAACAAGGACATATTGAAGAGCATATTTGCTAAAGAGATCAATGTTGTTTTTTAGAGAAGTCTTTTACACTTAAAGTATACCGAAATTTTAAGCGAGTTTGTTTCATCATGCCTGATACCTGCTTCGATACATTCAGATGCTAAACATTCCCTTTGAAAGGAAATGTTTCACACTTAAAAATTTTGAAGCAGGCATGATATATGATGGAAATGGCCTACTCGCAGCTATGGATACGGTCTTAAGTGTAGAAGGCTGTTCTAGATGACCCAATTTCACCATTGAGTAAATATTTGCATCATTACGCCGTCGTTTGATTACGTCATGAGACGTTGTTATACCGTCAGAGCCGCTGCCGGACTGGACGTGTCAGAGTCGCTTCTATGGCGAATGGGCTGACCCACTTGTAGCAATTTAACTCGCGTTAAGCTGGTTTGTTTATGTCTGCGCATGAAAACCGACGATCCTTACGTACGCGTGTTTTTTCACTTTGACGTGGTGTTTTTTGCGTACTCCCGACATGGGATGGCAGCACCACCGGCTCGGGTTACAGCGGAGCGGCCGTGGTCTGGCTGAGCCGGTCCGTCGCGATGAGCCATTCTGTAACCGGGAACACCAGCATTCTGTCCTGTGATAGGATCTGATAGCCACGTCTCCGTGACACACAAAATGTCAGGCTTTCCTCCAGTAATCGGGAAAAGTATGGAGCAAGTAATCTATCTTGAGAACCAGTAACTGGGAAATCGAGTGACCGATGACCAGTTTGTGCGCCGGCTCACTGGAGCTGGTTGGCTCACTGCTGTTGGCAATGTGACGGGTCTGATGTAGGGCGAGCCGAGCCGGCCGTACAGGGCTGCGTGGGGCGTGGCCTGTTGGTGCTGAAGGCGATACACTCACCGTCGTGTAACCGGCTGCGGGTTGGCTTTGGCATACTTTGAGGTTTGACAATCTTCGTTGGCTCCGTATCGATCACTATCGTACAACAACCGCGATCCGTTTGAGCGAGCTACGCTTTCCTCTAGTGTTTGTAGTTGCTCGACAGTGCACGAAAGTAGTTCGAAATGTCGACGACACATCCAACGGACACAGAACAAACGTGCTTTGAATCGGACTGACCTACCACTTGATACGGGTTTTGCTGCTTGACTTCCGTCGTTATAGCATGCACTGCATATATGTGG